CTTGCCTCAGCCTCCCAAGTGGCTGGGATTACAGGTGTTCACCACCATACCCAGTGTTAGTCTTTTCTAACTGCTCTCAAGGTGATTCAAATATGGGGTCGGAGGGATGAGAGCCACTGGAAAAGAACCCCTTTCCCCTGGACCCCTGACTCTTGTCCACATGCAAGGCCTTTGCTACTTTTCAAAATGTAGCCCAGGAGACCTGCAGTAACACCAGCTAGGAGCAAAATGGAAATGCAGCAGCTCTGGCCCCAGGGTGTGGCTACATCAAATCTGCATGGTAGTCACACCAGCCAGATCTCAGGAGAACCAGCTGGGTGGTAGCTTTTAGGAACAAAGAGATGAAGCAGGGTTCTACTCTGGGAAGCCAGGGGATGTGGTTCTCTCTCTCTCTCTCTCTCTCTCTTTCTCCCCTCCCCCATCAGCTCTGGAGAAAGCCTTTTCGGTACCAGGTTACAAGCACTTAAGCCAGGTGAGTACAAAATAAAGGTCTTCCCACCTGCATGTGGGGCCAGTGACTGAGCAGTCAGTACCTGACTGATGGATACAACCAGGCCTGGCAAGGAACAGGAAGGCTTCCGCTCCATGCATTTCAGAAAGCTAGAAGCCAAAGGAAGATTGGGGGTGAAGGAGGGACTTGGGGACGGGGAGGCTGGGGAGACAAGGATGTGCGAAGAGAAAAAGGGTTCTCCTGTGGACCCAGAAATTGCCTTTTTCTGGCTCAGGAACTCTTTCTAGAACGAGGCCGTTGCTGGTGCTGACACTGGAAGGTTGAGTTCCCGTCCACTGCTGGGCCTCTCGGGAGGAGATCAAAACACCAGAGATCTGAGACAGCTTCCTGACTTCAAGCAATAGGGTCCAGGGCCACCTGGAGGAGGAAGAGGATGACGGATGGCAGGGAGGTCCACAGGTCAGAGATGGAACTGCACGTACACACAGCACATTTGGGGAACAGAACAGACTGTTTAAAAAAAATTTAAAAAATAGTCAAATCCAGCAGTGTTATCACTATGGTCTGTGTCAGAGTCTAGATAAAATCCAGTTATGTAAAAGAGATGTGATCTGGGTAGATACTAATGAGGACATTCTCTCTGCAAGTGGATGGTAACAATGACATGCTTTCTGGAGCTACACATAAGGCCAAACTGAGTTACGGGAGAAGATACATTTGAACGAACCCTACAGAGTAATGATATTCCAAACATTAACTGATTGAATGGTATTACTTGGCCACTGGCTCCCAGTTACCTACTCAACAAAGTTCAAATGTCAGGTGGTGGGGGATTTGGTGACATACAACATCAAGAGAGACAGGAAAGAAGAATGACCTCTGGGGTCAATGTGTCTTGTTCACATCTGGCTGATTTGAGTAAATAAACCACCAACCCACTGTTCTGAACTCCGTGGGGGTACTCAGAGTCCCTTTCTTGCTGATGGCGGGGTTTGATTGCCAAATGGAAAGCACTCAGCACAGTGACGGGATGATGCTATGTGACAGGAGTGTGATTGATGACATTGACTGCTCCAGTCCCAGCTCTTCCAATGCGCCCACACATCTGTCTACAGTGTCTTCCTAGCCACTCTGTTGTTCTTGCTCACATTGATCTTGCTCAAATTTCCCTGTCCTGACTGCTCTGCCCTTCTTCCGGGCCCAGCTTATACTTTACTTCCACGCAGCTTTTGTGAGTAGGATTCATGTCTGGTATGCTTGTATGTTCTCAGTGTGAATACAGATCAGAAATAGAATAGGTGCTTCAATGGAGAAAAAAATACTTGAGAGTCTGGTGCTGGTGGCTCTCACCTGTAATCCTAACTATTCAGAAGGCTGAGAACTGAGGATTGCTGTTGGAAGCCAGACCAGACAGGAAAGTCTGTGAGACTCTTACCTCTGATTAGTCAGCAAAAAGCCAGAAGTGGAGCTGTGGCTTACATGGTAGAGCACCATCCCTGACAGAGTGCTCTGGCCCTGAGTTCAAGCCCCAACATTGGCACCAAAAGAATATTAAGGAGAGGAGAAGTTGATGAGGTGGAGAGGATATATATGATAAAGCATATTCTATGTATAGAACGAGCATAATGCAATCCACTAAGAACTTTAAATGTTGGTGGTAGGAAGAAGGGGTGCTAGAAAAAAATAATATAGATGGAGTGAGTTAGCTCAAACTACATGATGTACATGTGTGCACATAGCACAATAAAAGCCCTTTGTATAATTAATTTATTGTAATCAAAATTAAATTACCAAAAGGTAAACAAAAATCTATATTGTGTGCATGGATGCATGACTGAATGAGTGCTTGTGACTAGATTTCCCTAAAGGATGGAGGGGAAACAGATCCGGGAGTCTTGTGGGTTCCAGGGCCCCTGGGTCAAATTTCTCCACTGCCGATGTGTAGGGCAGGTCTCCTTGGGTTTCCTGCCTGTGAAGTGAGACAAGGACGCCAGCCCATTTTCAGGGTGTGATGAGATCTGCAAAGTGCTTTTCTGTGTACCAGGCCCTAGGAGGGGGCACAGTGAAGGCTAATGAGGTTCTTCATGGCTCACATTCTGAACCCCAGAGGCCACGTGAACCTCTCTGGAATAAGAGCCTGGATTCTGAGTGCTGAGCTGCAGTGTTCTCCAGCCCAGCAACCCTGCTAACAGTTCGGGCTGGCCCAGAGCCCACAGCCTACTGCTCCAAGGTCCTCTGGACCCACCCAAGCCTGTTCCTTTTCCTGAGGCAGGTGTACAGGCTCCAGATTGGAATATGAGCCTTAATCCTTCTCTCCCTCCTCCCCCCCTCTCTCTCATGAAGAGACTGTAACTGGGGTGCCTTTTGGGGAATTGTATATTCTGGAGATATAACTCAAGTTTTGCAGCCAAGTGTATATGAAAATAGGATGCGGCAGTGTTCTTTCAGAAGGGGCACTGGAGTCTGAACTCAGAGACTTCCTCTTGCTAAGCAAGTTCTCTACCACTCTAGACACTCTCCAAGCCCTTGTAACAGTTAGTTCATGCTTGAACCACCTTGAATGTGGATCTTCCTCTTTTCCTCCTGTGCAGCTGTGATTATAAGCCTATGTCAGTATGCCTATAGTTTAAGAGAAGGTCTCAGTAACTTTTTCCTGGTTAATTTGGAACCTTAATCCTCCTATTGCTGCTTTCTGAGTAGCTGGGATTATAGGTGAATATCACCACATCTGGCTTTGCCACAGTTCTTGCTAGATCTTTCTTTGTGTGTGTGTGTGTCAGTTGTGGGGGCTGAACTCTGGGCCTGGGTGCTGCTGTCCCTCAGCTCTTCAGCTCAAGGCTAGTGCTCTACCATTTAGCCACAGTGCTACTTATTTCTGGCTTTTTCTGCTTATGTGGTGCTGAGGAACTGAACCCAGGGCTTCATGCACGCAAAGCAAGCACTCTACCACCGAGTCATCTTCCCAGCCCCTAGATCTTTCTTAAACTGAAGAGCACAGGGTCAGACTCCATGTGTGTGTATGTGTGTGTATGTGTGTGACCTGAAATCACAGCAGTCATCAAATGCATCAACGTTCATGGGAACTTAAGTATTCTGCTCTCAGAACCTGTCTGTGCGAAACAGAATGTTTTCATGTTATGTTTGTGTTCCCTAGGGGGAAAGGAGAAAGCTGGAGGGCTTCAGCTCATGTGATTTGCATCTTGCCTACCATCAAGCAGCACAGAGAAACGTATTAATGTCCTCTTGTACTTGTTTTCAAAACCAGCTCCTTCAGTGTTCTTTGGTCAAACAAAGATATTTGTGAGAGAATTTATAAGATCTAAATTCATCTGAATGGGTTTTTTGTAGGGGGGGGGGTGTCACAGGAATCTTGGATCCAAAGGTGAGAGCTGCTGACCTCTCGGTTCTGGGTGATGGAAGCTGAGCCCCCCACTTGAAAAGTTTGACCTTAAACCTTTCCAACTTCAAGACCATAGTAAGTACCAACTTCCCATGAGGACTGGTTGGATACTTCTGCACTTTTACTTGGGCTAGATTTTCACTGACAGTGGGTGGAGGGGTGGGTCCCTTTCAAAAAAGTGGTCAAGATACTAACATTGCTTTGGTCACATAACATTTTCACTGATGATGTCACCTACTCACCCACTGAAGGAATCCTTTGTATGGAGACACCTCTGCATTAGCACCTGTGCCTGAAGAGAAGCGAGAAGCCATTTACAAAGGCCGAGAGGTCACGTAGCATCCTTAGACCTCTCCGTGGCTCACAGCTTTATTTTCACTAAGGCCAATGCTGGTTTTGGGAGGACTGGCCATGTGAGGGGAACTTTAAATTTTGAATTTCTGTAATGCACATTCATTTCTTCCCCTTCCTTATTTCACTCTTTGGATGAGAGGAATTGTTTGGTCATTAGACTGGATGGCCATATTATACCTAATGAATTTTGGATGGCTATTTCTTCTCTTCCAACCCTTCTTCTCACAAATGAACAACTCCTCTCTCCCTTGCCAAACCCCCAAACATCAGCTAGCCTTCTGGACAAGAATTTTCCTTCGGACCTGATCAGCCAGGCTATGCTGAGGAACAGGAAGAAAGTGGGCGTGCCTTGCCCGAAGCTGGGCCTGGCAACCCATCACCCACCCAGAGGTGCTTCCGGGCAGTCAGCACTGGCTTTTCCTTCCACCCCTTATGAATATGTAGTTTCTCGGTTTCTGGGTTCAACTCTTGTTACCTCTGCAGTACGAAGTCAAGGGGGGAGATTTCTGCCCAGCATGCATTGAATCTGACAACACAGCCCTCTCTTACTCTGTTACTTTCCTACAATAATAGAAAATCTTTCAGGAACCTCAATCCAAAAATCAAAGCCCTCAGACCCAAACTTCAAGACCTGCAAGTGTATTTCAGTTGTAGTGCTTGCTTCTCTTGGGTTGCATTCTAAGTACTGCAAAAAGAAAAAGAAAAAAGAAATAAACAACCCAAAACTCAAAAAAAGAAGAGAGAAGATGGAGATGTTGACACTCTACTCATTATGGAAGAAACAGAACTCATACATGTGAAGGTGATTAATCATCTTTATTGGAGGAAAACAAGAAGTCATCAATCTCATTATGATAGAAATATTGATATGTATACATGATTGTCAAGGCAGAGAATCATTGGTTACAGAGACCCATGGACAATTGTGCAGAGCCGCAAACTGAGGGGGGTTAAAACTTCTTGCAGAGTTTATTACATGCAAGGAATAAATGCACAATTTCCCTTCTTTTGGACAAGCATGTTTTGTTTTGTGGTTTTGTTTTTAATGGAAAGTTTGAACCAATCACAAGCCTGGTAACAGACATGGGGGGACATTCCTGGGCGGGGCATGGTAAGCTTTTGGAAAACATGCTTGCTGTCGTGGGGGGGGGTGGGGTGGTAGTGGAAAGGGAACCAAAAGAAGGACAATTCTATTGTGTGTAGCCATAGAAACCAATTTAGAAATGAATCCAATGTATATGCTGGGCAAGAATGTACCTTCCATGTCTTCTCACCTGGTCATGGGACAAAGATAAACTTTCTCTGAAACGTGCCTGTCTCAAAATGGAAGATGTTTCTCAATGTTAATGTCTCATGTCGCCCCCAAACAACTAAGTGTTTAGGAAGGAGAATGGCAGGCTTCAGTGCTGCATGTTCTGGTTCCTTCTTTGGGCCACTTGCAGCCTGGCTGTTACTCCAATCCACAGCCCTATACCCCAAAGCACAAGGCTTCCCAGAGGGCCTAGGAATTCTAGTCTGTCCAAAGCTTTTCCTTGGAGAAACAATTTAACTAGCATTTGGGGACTTTTGAGACCTTGGTGATGTCTGATCTCTACCATAAAGCCTCAAACATTCCTGTTATTTTCATTTTCTTTCCTGTCCATAAGAAAATCAAATCACCTGTTAAGTAGAATAATATGGCAGATCTTTAGAAGATTGGATAATTGTATGACAAGTTCCCCGGAGTGGGGGGAGGGGGGGAGGAGGAAGGTTAAAAAGAGGCCTGGGGAAATGCAGAAGCGGCCTTAGTACACAGGGTAAATGCAACAGCTTGTCCCTTTGGTGTAGAAAGATATAGACACAGAGAAGCCATTTGCTTTATCCACAAAGCCAGAACTCAGCAGCCACATGCTCAGTGTTTGGCTTCCAAATGCTCAGACTTGGGGTTCGCCCAGCTCCCAGAGCCACAAGCTGAACTGCTCTTGCTGCAGGAGGGTAGGTAGTCCAAAAAGGACCAACTCCTTCTGGTTGACTCTGGGAGCTTCGGCTGCTGTGTGGAGCAGGAGGCAGGTCAGGCCCCGGCCAGCATGCAGGACAGATTTGACAGCAGGGCTGCAGACCATGATGCACTGGGGTCACTGAGGACTCATGGATGGGGAGTGGGGGCTTTTTGCTTCTTCTTTCTCTCTTCCATAAACCTGCCTGCTATACAGGGTTGAGGTTTGCAAGATAATTTATCAGTGGACACATTTTCTCGTGGTGTCAGAAAATAACACTCTGCACCTTTCAGCATCTGTTTTCCAGTTCGTTTTTTTTTTAAGATCTCAACCTTTTGAATTCTGAAACATTATGGAATACCTTTTTCAAAAATATCAAGTACACTTGTAGCCCAGATCTACAACCAGGTGGATCATATACTTCTATATACATCTTTTTTTTCCCCCCTGCCTTTTGGAAACAAACGAAACAGTGTTTGGTCTGGAATGTGGTAAGAAGGCCAACTCTGCAGTGAGGAGACAGGAGAGGGAAGTACTTGGTTAGTATGACATGCAAAGCGCTCGTGCACTGATTAGATCGCAGGGCCCGAGGTTCATTTGCCAGGAATGACTGGGCCAACCTGGGAAATCTGTTTTTTTGTTTTGTTTTTAATGAAAAATGGGAGGAGCTGCCCTTTGCTGGTCCATGCCTTCCTTTCTCATATCTCCTGCCTTAAGTCCCAGAGTAGTGGCACAGGTATGCTTTTGCTAGCGTAAAGGATCAATTCTAGCCAAAGCTTTGTTCATAAAGCCTCAAGTTTCCACAGGCTGATTAGGTTAAGCCTGATTTTCCATGAGGAAAATCCTTTTAACAGGGAATCATCTCTCTGCTTCTCTGTATCTATGGTGGCTTTGGTTCTGAAGGGAATTCCCCTCTCCCATCCACCATCCACCATCCAGCCCACGCTGGACACTAAGATGAACAAATGAACAGTATGAGGCTCATGTGAGGGAGGTAAACTGAGTCTGATGCCAAATTCCTTTCAGCAGACTGCTAATATTTTCTACTGTTCAGCCATGAGCATCTTCTTCTGTCCTATGTGTAACTGCTGAGTTTCCCAGATATGATGCTAAGAGCTAGTTGGAGACTGAGACCCTTCCTAAAGTCACATGATGCCGTGCCCTGTTCTTGAAGTGAGATTTGATGTTTACCTATTTAACTAGTAGTGGTGACTGAACCCAGGGCTTCACATTTGCTAGGCAAGTCTCATATCATTTGAGCCATGCTTCCCATCCTTTTTGCTTTCATTTATTTTTCAACGAAGTCCAGTGCTTTGGTCTGGGAGCCTCAGACTGCGATTGTCCCATCTCTGCCTCCTGGTAGCTGGACATACAGTTGAGATTATATGTACCACCATGCCTGGCCTTGAGGTGAGATTTTAGAATCAAGAACAGGAAACTATACCAGCTTTTTGGGGGGAAGAGGGAGGATAGGAGGGACATCGTTTCTCCATAGAATGTTTTTCTTTTAAAAAAGAGATTAAACAAGGTGTATTCTCCCTTTTGGATTTGCCTATGGAACTAGGGGCAGAAGAAGGTGATGAATACCAACCTGTTGCAAACATGAGCCCTGGGGTGTTATTTCTCTAATCTAGCAGCCCCCGTTCCCTTAAGGCTATTGTAGATAAAAATGAACCTTACCTAAGCATGCTCTGCTCACTCCCAGCTCCTGCTCTCTATGCCCTACCCCAGTATCAGGCTTCAGACTCCAGGAGGACCTCGTATCATCCCCTATCTGTGATGTATGTGGGAACAGGTTGACCACTTGTCTGACTTTGCTGTATTCTTATATATCTGGCCTTGGCCCTGTGTCCTTAGGGAGGTAGCCTGGGGATGCCAAGTCTTACCACACACTGTGGGGGGTGTGTGTGTGTGGTGTGGTGTGTGGTGTATGTGTGTGTGTTAGAAAGAGCCATCACCTATCACAGGCAAAAGTGGGGGAGTGACAAAGGTGACTTGCTTGACTGGACTCTCCATGTCTGGCCATCTCTAGAAGGGCCTGAGGATAGCAGCCAGAATGGCCACTGCTTATCAGACACATCTACTTGGACCCCTACAGAACTGAACCTCAGGATAATAGAAAGGCATGAGGGCTGATGGAGGACTTTTGCAAAGCTGGCACCCAGAGCCACCTGTCTGGCTCTACAGGCTCTACCTTGGCGTATGTTTGCCCTGAGTTGCACATTACACTTGTACCCTCCTAACACCCAACCACCATGTGAGTTACATGGTGTAGTTTGTAGGCACCAACAAAAGTCCCACATACTGGAGAATCCATTAGTTCCTGGCAACTTGGGGCATTCCGTGACCCTACCACCACAGGTTTTTGATTTTTGGCTTCGTCTAATGAGAGATAGCTTCATGTACCAGCTGAGCCATCTCTACTGGTGGTCAGTGTTCTTTTCACTTGATGGGTCAGTTTTCTTTACCACTCTAAATAAATGGTGTCTTCTTCAAAGCTATTTCCTTTCCCTCTCTTGTATAACATTCGTAAGAGAATAGTATTAAAACAAAAAGTGGAAAAACAACCTGTGTGTGTTAGAGGCCATTTTAAGTATAAGATTAGAAATTCATTAAAAATAAAAACTCAGAGGACGAGATTAATTTTAAAAGTGCATAGCTAAGGTCAGAGTTTTTGACCGTCATCCCTCATGAGAAATGAGGGCTGCTTAAAGTATGTCCTTAAACAAAATGGCAGCCATTTCTTCTGTAATGGCGGCTCCTAAATCATGACATTGCGGGACTGTCATTCACAGAGTAAGGGTTGCCTGTGAAGTGGAGCCTTTGGGTCTCAGGGGAGCGGGCTTCATTTCTGCTGTGGTGGGGGGGATTGCCGGAGGAGATGCTAGAAAGGTTTTCTGAGGTTCCCCCCACTAGAGTTTCCTGGAGAGAAGCTAGCCCCACAGAACTAAGCTGTCTTCCTATAGAAACAAAGACATAGGACAGAAAGAAAGTGCATTCTTAGCCTTGGAGATGGATTCTTGATCCTCTCATTCAAATTTTTAAAAATACCTTTAAATTCCCCATGGAGGAAGAAAAAAAACTCTCTTAAAGGTTAACATAAAACTACTAATGAAGAGCAAAAATACAGATCATGAACTGAAAGATACAGATCAAAAGACATAACCTCCCAAAGAAAAGAGAACCCTAATGCACAATATTTACCAATATTTAAATAATCCAGTTGAAACCTTTTTTTTTGTTTTGTTTTTCATGAAAAAAAAATACACCCTAGATGGCTGCCTATGCTGAGAAAGGTGGAAATGACGGAGTTTGGGGGAGAGGAATAAGAAGGTCCATTCTGTTTCGAGATTCTTATATACAGCACCAGCTCCCCTTGAGTCTGTACAGTTTGTGAGAAATGAACACTTCAGAATTGCAGTATAAAATATGGCCATAAAAAACCTTCTGTCTTCCAGTCCTAAGCAGGTAAGTGCACCATGCAGGGTGGGGTCTCCAACAATGGAGTGGTTCCGGCCTGGTGCTCTGGGGCTCCCCTTCCCCGGCCCTGCCCCCTGGATCCCACCTCCAGAGCGGGTCACTTGCTTCCGGTGTGCACTGTTGTCACAGTGGTGGGCCTGGGTCTCCGCTCAGCTCCAACTCCTGAGACCCCTGATGAAGAGGAAATGAAACTACACAGCGTGGAAGGTGCCAGGCCTGTGGGGGAACAGTGGAACATAGGTTAATTCATGCTCCCCTTTCCCTCCCATCACTGCTTTATGAGGGGCTAAATTACAGAAAAGAGCAAAGTGTTACCCACTTGACCACCCAGTGTTTCTTTATGGGATCATACCTCGGGTATCAGTTGTGGGGCTTAAACTCTGGGCCTGGGCGCTGTCCCTCAGCTCTTCAGGTCAAGGCTAGCGCTCTACCACTTGAGCCACAGTGCCACTTCTGGCCTTTTCTGCTTATGTGGTGCTGAGGAATTGAACTCAGGGCCTCATGTGAAGCAAGTGCTCTACCACTGAGCCACCTTCCCAGCCATACCTCAGGTCTCTTGAATGCCTAGATAATACTTTACCACCAAACCACCGTGTTCTCCATTCTTATCCACATCTAGAGAAACTTTTACAATGTGTTCAAAATGCTTTATTCTTAAATCCAATTCCCTCTTTGTGTGTGTGTGTTTGGTAATAATTATACTGGCTTTGTACTTGGGAATGACATGGCTTTTGACACCATGTTTTGCATCTTACAAAGCATGGGGAGTGATAGGAATGGCTGGTTTTCTTAGAACTGCTCCATGAAGAATGAAGGAAAACTCTCTGTTCCTGTCTGGCCTTTGGCTAGTAGGTTGTAAGAAGCATTTTGAGACACAGGGCACTTTGAAATGAGGATCTTCATCTATCTCTATGTGGACTTTGCAGCCCCTTGTCTAGAAACACGCCCCCTCCAGGCAGCCCTGAAATCTCCCTATGCAGATGTGTCAATCTGGATATGAAATATCCCCAAAGGTCCTACGGCAGTATTTAAAAGTGACAGCATCTTGGGATCTCTAACTTAATTGATGGATTAATCCACTGATGGATCCATAGTTGAACAGGTGGGGCCTAATTGGAGGAAGAGGTCATGGGGTAAGTCTTCGAAGTGTATATCTTCTCCCGGGCCTCCCTGTCCTCTTTTCCCCCTCACTTCCTTCCTGTCCCTCTCTCTTTTCCTCTCCTCTCTCCATCTGCTTTCTGGTTCCTATCAAGTGAATATCCCTGTGCCGCTGTGCCCTTCTGCCACGATCCTTTGCTTTAACACAGGCCCAGGTGACCCTGGTCTGAAATCTCTGGAAGTGTGAGTCAAACTAGATCTATCTTCTTATTCACTATTTTTTCACTCAGGTGTTTTGTTACAGTGACAGAAAGCTGACTGGTACAGCCACAGAAGGCCCCAGTGTGGGAGCAGCAGCTGTTGCTGTTCAGCTCCAGAGGACTTGGCTCCAGCCCCTGTGTCAGCTTGGATGTAGGGAAGGCCATTAAATAAGATATTACTGTGAGCTTTGCTGTCAGTGTCATGCATGGCTCTCTAAAGAAATGATGTTGGTAGTGTTCCTTTGGTCAGAGGTGAGGATGGATCTATGGGTGACATGTGAATGTGGTATTTAGGAGTATGTAACTGTGTCAGGAAATTCATAGGGATGTTTTGGGAGAATTTAAAGATTGAATAGTCCTAAATGAGATGGGATGGCTCTGATTTGTGTTTGTAGTTCCGGGGGCAGAACCCAGGGCTTATGCATGCTAGGTAACTGTTCTACCACCGAGCTATGTCCCAGTCCTTGGTTGTTTGAGACAAACTCCTGCTATGTAACCCAGGCTGGCCTTTGACTTACTGTTTATCAAGTGGCCTGAACTCATGGTCTTCCTGCTTCTGCCTCCTGAGTGTTTGGACTAGAGGTAAGCATCACCATTCCTGGCAATGTGATGTTTGTCTGACTGTCTCTCTCTCTCAATAGTACTAAGGATTGAACTCAGGGCCTTGTGTTTGCTAGGCAGGCATTCTACTGCTTGAGGCATGCCCCAGGCAACTAATGGGATTTCTCCTTAAAGAGGAAAGAAGCCTTTTTCTGAGCCAAACGGGAAGGAGCATGATGCTCAAGGTGGGGCCGAGCTAAAGGGCTATGCCGTGGTTGTGGAGATGAGGGCCAGTGGAGATGATCGATTGCTCTGAAGTAGAAAGAAGCCACTGGAATAGCCTCATAGGAGATTAAAATTAATGTGGAGAGGGGTCTGTGGAGGAGAGAAGATTGTTAATGTGCTCTCCAGGGAATTATATTCTACATAAAGATGAGAGACAATAATATTACTATTACTTTTGTTGCAAAGCCAATGCATGTCATATAAATGAACTCAAATTACCATCACTCATCAAAACAATGATAAACATTAGAAATCAGAGGGGTCAGGCTCTCAGGACCCTAACTTCCTTCCCACAATCCTTAAGAGTACTGATACAATGAGAGCAAACTGAGGAAGAGGAGACAGACTAAGGAATGACTAGGCCCTACCCTGACAGGCTGGCTATGTGGAACTTGAACCACAGATTTCTCATCTCTAAATGGAAACAATGATACTAAGTGTGTGCAAGTACTGAATAGTTACGTTTACAAAATATTGTGTTAGGATAGTTGGGAGCATGAAACAGGGTAAAGCGCTGAAAACGCTGGGCAAACAGTAGGTGCTCAGGCCAGGACCTCTCTCCTCTCCAGCCAGACCCATCTCAGAGACCCACTAAAGAATTCTGGCTTTGCTACATACGCACAATCTTTTTGACTGGCCAAGCTGAGGCTGCTGGAGACACTTGCACTTGAACTATCCAGGCTGCTGCCGAGATGTAATCTCCTCATATGTCTTACCACAGCGGTGGCATTAAATGCTTGCTGAAATTTAAGAAAGAAAACACAAGAGACAAAGGTCAGAGGCTCCTGATAGATAAAAGAAGACTCTGAATGCTTCCTCTTTCTTACCTGGTTACTCAAATCATCATAAGCTGCCATCTCCTATTCTTCTTCTCTATTTGGGGGAATGGGTAATACTGGGATTTGGACTCATGACCTTGTGCTTGCTAGGCAAGTGGTCTACTACTTGAGCTGTACCCTCTTTTTGGCGGAAGTTGCTGATACTGGAATTTGAATTCAGGACCTTGCACTTGCTAAGCAGGTGCTCTAGCACTTGAGCCACATCCCTAACCATTTGGCTTTCATTATATTTTGAATAGAACCCTACATTTTTATCCCAGCTACCCTGTATCTCAATCCTCTTAGTTACACTTCCCATGTAACTTGGATGACAAGCATGTACCAACATGCTCAGTTCATTGATTGGGATTGGGTCTCACAATCCCAAGTGATCCACCCAAGTTTGATCCTCAACTTTGGGCCAATGTGCTCAACCTTCTTTCCATTTTTCTTTCCTTTCTTTCTTTCCTTTCTTTCTTCCTTCCTTTCTTCCTTCCTTTCTCTTTCTTTCCTTTTGCTTTCCCTTTCTCTCCCCTCCCTCCCTCCCTTCCTTTTTTGTGGCAGTTGGGATTGAATTCAAGGCCTTAGACTTGTTTTTAGGCCAATACCCTACCACTTGGTCCATGCTTTTAGCCCTTGTTTAGTGTCTTTTTCAGATCAAGTCTCATGCTTTTGCCCAGGTAGCCTGAATTACTATTTCTGCCTCCTGACTAGCATGGATGACAAGGGATTCCATCATATCCAGTTTGTTTTTGAGAAAGAGCTTTGCTGATTTTTGCCAAGGCTGGCCTTGAACACGGAACCTCCCGTCACTGCCTCCCAAGTAGCTGGGAGTGTTGTATGTATCACATTGCTTGGCCACACACTTCTTAAAACATACTCATAATACTTTGGGAAGCAAATTTATATTTCTCTTGTTAAAAAAGTATGTGTTATTTAAATTTCTTGACTCTGTGAGTGGGGGGGGGGTAACTGAGGCTTGAACTTCCACCCTCATACTCTCAGTTGGCTTTTCCCGCTTAAGGCTGGCCACTCTACCATTTGAGCCACACTCTAGTTTCAGCTTTTTGTGGTTAATTGGTGATGAGTATCTTACAGATTTGTCTGCCCAAGCTGGCTTCCAGCTACAATCCTCAGATCTCAGCCTCCTGGGTACCTAGGATTACAGGTGTGAGCAATGGATGACCAACAAGATACTCTTGAGGCTTAAAAACAGTTTGCTCCTGATGTCATAAATTTATATAGAGAAACATAAAACAATTTATTCTGAATTTTAAGAGATGTAGCTTTTTAAAATGAAAGGCAAAAAAAATAGTAAAGTGAAAGGTATATATAATAGGTTACCTTCAAACGTAATGTTTAAAAATACTATTTATTTTCCTATAACTGAAATGGATTCTTTTGTGCTAAGCAGTGGCATTTCCTCTGAACAACATAGGTCCGTGAAGTTAACTGTGTTTCTGTACAGTCTCTCAGTGGCTGTTGACTCTCATGACAAGACAGCTAAAGCTTAATGATCCAGGCTGATTAGAACATAGAGTTTGGGTAATCAATAGATGATCATGAGATTTCTGCTTTAAACCCAACAAGTTCTGCCAGTAAATACGGATGAGTTTGTTTTATTTTCCCCTTTGCGACTCTTCTTTTTAAAAGGTGATTGTTCCAAATTCCAACAGAATAAAGGGAAACAAAGGGGATTAAGTTGTCAAAGAAACAGCAGGTGAGTAAGCCTGGCACCCTTGCTGTCTTTGAGCTGCAGAGAGGAATGGTTAAGATATCCTCTCGTGTGACAGTGGCATCCAGAAACCCAACATGCTCCCATGGTGCCATGAGCTTCCGGAGGGTGACAAAGGTCACTGGGAAATTCAGCAAACTCGGGACTTACTCTCCATTTGCTTTTTGCAAAGTTCTTCCGGATCTGGGCACTGACGGACTCATGGATATTCTTGTTGAGGGCTGTGTCACCGGCGATCCTGAAATACAACGAGATTCTTCATAAGGGTTTCCCGGGGCTTCCCCAGCAGCCACCCAGGAAGCCTCATCACACCCTTGAGTGGGTGGATACCTGGGGCCCCCAGGCTGCTGAGTTGCCCAGGTGACCTGCCTCCAAACCCACGCATGGCACCTTGTCACTCCAAAGCCCCAATCCACTTTCTGTACTCTTCTTGCTCCCTTCACAGGCCTTGCCCACAGTCTCTCGCTCTACTTCACTACCCACCTCTCAGGTGAGGTTCCTCTGTTGATGCCCAGTTCCCGCCACACTGAGATCCACAGCGCCAGGACAACCTGCAATCATTGTCCTTCTGCCTCCTCCATCTCAGTTTCAAGACCTGCAGGGTGTCACCTCTGAGCCTTCTCATTTGTCCCATGTCTGTTCTGACCACCATGTTCTTCTCCAGACCCTGCCTTCCAGCCTCCGACTTCCAGCTTCTGGCTTCCCTATAGCCAGGGCTTATGTCTTCCCTTCCCTGCACTGTCTGCTCCATGGATCTTTTTTTTTTTTTGTATTCTGAGACTTTCAGGTTCTTTCCAGTTCCATCCAACATTCTGTTCAGGCCATGAGACCTGTACTCCTCCCTTTCTCCCAGAAGAGCCTCAGCTCAAACCTGCAATTCCTAGACATTATCAGAACTTTGAGGACCACTTTATAGTCAACGGATTTTCCTGTAGGCAGCATTTACTGTAGTTCTGGCTTGCTCTTGAACTTTCCTCCATTAACAGGGAGCTATTCAGGTGTGCTCTTACTTCCTCTGCTGAGGGCTCTCCTCATTCTATTCTGAGCTGCTCTCCTTTCATTGTTTTGGGTTTGTCCCTGGCCTTTCTCTTCTGGATTACAAACTCTAGTCTTAGGAATTCCCTAAAGGTCCCTCGCAGCCCACTCTTCTCTTCTGCCAAGCTCTTCTAGATGACAACATTTTAACTTCTTTTATATCCAATTACTTGGCCTTTCTCCTAGGTCAAGGGAAACCATGTTCTACTCTCGGTCCTTCCTGGGCTTTGACCCTCCCATCTTCCTTTTCTGGTTAAGTACTAAAGGAGTTGATTCTTGGTTTATATCTAGTGTCTCAGACAGAATTTACTAAGGCTGGGTATGGTGACACACCTAGCTACCGAGAGAGAGGTAGCAGAATGCTGGTGGCTCACACCTGTAATCCTAGCTACCCAGAAGGCTGAGATCTGAGGACTGCAGCTTGAAACCAGACTTGGCAGAATAGTCTATGCAACTCTTTCTCCAATTAACCAGCAATGAACCTGGATTGGAGATATGGTTCAAGTGATAGAGTACCTGCTATAAGCAAGCAAGATGAGTAAGGCCCTGAATTTCAATCCCCGGTACTTCTAAATAATTAAATAAAAATAAGTGAATAAGTAAATAAAAGAGATAGGGAGAGCCAGGGGCTGGTGGCTCACGCTTGTAATCCTAGCTACTCAGGAGGCTGAGATCTGAGGATCACAGTTCAAAGCCAGCCTGGGCAGGAAAGCCCATGAGACTCTTATCCCCAATTAACCACCAGAAAACTAGAAGTAGCACTGTGGCTCAAGTGGTAGAGCACCTGCCTTGAGCTGAAGAGCTGAAGGACAGCACCCAGGCCCAGAGTTCAAGCCCCATGACCAACAAAAAAACAAAAAGAGAGAGATAAGGAGAAATAAACTAAGAAAGGAAGAAAAGAAGGAAAGAATGATAGAAAATAATTTATTGAGTTTTAGAAAAGTTACACTGCAGGCACCAGAATTCTGGCTCACTTTCCTGGCTAGAAGACACTTGGGGTGAAAGGAAACTTTCTACCTCCAAGCCCAGAATTCCCTGGACATAAAACACACTGGACACTGAAGACTTTAAATTCCATCTACCTTGAAATATGACACAGCAGATGCATAACCTCATAAGACAAGAACTCATCCCACTCAGACTTTCCTTCATTTGAGAATCACAGACATGGTCATCTAGACAGAGAGTCTGTGCTAGGCAGGCCTGCACAGAGCATCCAGCCTAATATTCCCAGCTAAAAGCAACTGCCCTTAAATATCTTTTGTCTTTTCCCAGCTGAGTTGAAAACACACAGCTAGGAAGATGCTCAGAGAGCAACTGAAATGAACCACATTTCCAGCCACTGCCAATTCCAGCCCTTCCCCAGACATGCACCAGTGAAGCAGCAAGAGCACATCTGAATGGGAAAATTGGAAACAAGAAGAATGAGCAGATTTGGGAAACAGCAGACACTGTTACCAAGCCTATTTCTCCCAGAGATCCCAATGGGAGTGCTTTCTTCTCTTCTGCTAGTTCTGAAAGCAATGTCTTCAGGAAAAGAGGTCAGCTCCAACATGTCATTGGGCAGCTTAACACCGGGTCCACAGTGGTAGAAGTTGGAACTCCTCAGTCTGAGTACTACTGCAAGGCTAGCAATGGGTTCCAAAGCAAACAGGCCGGGGATGGAAGCCAGGGAGACTCAAAAAACTTTGGTTCTACCTGCCTGTCAATAGTGTGGCCTTTAACACCTCAAGCCCAGGGCCTGCTGCCCTTGCTCTGATTTTCACACCTTCTCTGTGGGCTATCATGGACCCAGATGTGAGGAAAATGCAAACTCAAATATTGCAGAGATGTTGGTGCTCACTTTGCACAGTCCTGCTGAAGTTTGGTTGCAGTCAAGCTAGTAGCAGGTGGCCCAGTGACTCTACAAAGTCATCTTCAAGGTGGCTGAAAGATACAGCCACCTTGGGTCACAACAGCACAGCATGTCCCTCTTTAAAGGGACACCATGATGGAAATGTGGCTACTGTTTATAATAAGCTGAGAAGTTCCCAGTAACGACCTTGACCACCCTGATGCTTGCTGACACCAACTTCAACATTATTCATCAGCAAACTCAAGGCATTGTGTCTTGAAGGTATCCTGGAGGCCACCCTAATTAACTAGAAAGTGACCAATGCTTCTGATATAGACTTTCCTTGCAATAGATCTGTAAACCTCTGCGTAAACACGTGTCATCTGTGTCTCCCTTGCTCTCTGGTTATATCTCCTACATTAACAACATGGGATCACATCTTTTTTACCCTGTCTTACTAACAGACAATCAAAGTCTTCTCTCTCTGCCTGTGGTGTCTTTACACTTCAAACATGGTCCCTTCTACAGCCACAGTTATGATTTTTGCTAGCCACTTGTTTAATAGTTTGGTGATACCTGCTGTGTGTTCCAGACAGTGTTTCACCATGCTCTTGGACCTGACCAAAAAGAGCTAACATGGCTGGAGCCCCACTGAGCAAGGGGGTCCTTGGACAACATTCATCTTTTTGTGCCAGCTTGCCCAGGATGCGGCATCCAGCTATTTGGCCAAATGCTAGTGTGGATGTTGCAGTAAAAGTATTTTTTAGATGAAATTATCATGTTGACCAGTAGACTTTGAGAAAAGCAGAAGGGCTTTAAGTGGAGTGGGGGTTGGGGGAGAGAGAAGAAGGGACTCTTCTGCTTCCACACTGGCTTCAGGCTCCACCCATCTTCCACAGATCTTCAGCATGTTGGTCTGCCCTAAAGATTTTGGATTCACCTGACTTCCATAATTACATAGCCAATGACTTCATTCCTTAACACAAATGAATCTCTCTTATGCTCATCATGTCAGTTTGCTCCTCAATGAAACTGGAGACTGTTTCAGAACAAACGGATCGGCAAGGACCTCGCAAAGTGCTACCCCTGTTATAGAGATGGGTTCTCATTCTGCTGCCAGCTTTCCCAGACTCTTTGGCAATCAGTGAGCATCGAGCTGGCTTCTGGCTGAGCACCACTGAAAGGAAGGCCAAAATCTCAAGGAAGAACAGCTTGAGAACACCTGGTAAAAAAAAAAAACGAACAAACCCTGACTGCCTCCTCCACCAGAAAGTGCTTTGACAAGAACCCTCCACGGCATGGCACAGCCCGTTTTGGAGCTAAGGAAGCATCTGCACTTGCAGATGCCCCTCTTAGCCTGGGTGCCTCGGGTCAAGTGGGAAGAGCAGGTACAGAATGACACAGGATCCTCTGCAGAATAGATGGGCCACGGCCACAGCTTCCGGGATGGCTTTGCTTTTAGCTACTTGTGTAGTCTTGCCTTGGTTACCTTATCTTCCTCTTTCCTTATCTCTGACATGAACATAAAACCTGCTTCACTGGGTGATGATAAAGAGAACGTTTTCAAGCCCTCAGCACAGTGCTTGAAACATAATAGAGACTCAATGAATGCCTGGTGGTATAAATTAAAATGCTGAGCAACTGGGCCATGACACAACCTCTAAGCAGGTCCCCTGGGGAAGGCTAGCAGCATGGAGACACAGGCGGAATGCTAGGGAAGGTGGTGGCGAAATAGAAGACTGGTTTCCCACTTCCTCCTGAATTCAAGGTGCTACTCAGTTCTTTCTATTGTTTTGCAGCAGTGGGGATCAAACTCAGGCATGTGAGGCAAGTGTTCTACACCTCCAATTCCCTATTTTCATTATATGGGGTGCTATGTGAATGAGCCCCCGAAACCCATGCGTTAAATGCTGAGTATGTTTGTCAAGTAGCAGAGCACTTGTCTGACAAATATGAGGCCCTGAATTTAAACCCTGTTACTACAAGAGAAAATGGTCAGTTCCCAGCTTAGCTTTATTGAGAGGCCATGGGACCCTTTAAGAGGTGGGAACCAATGGGGAACATTGGATCACTGGTCCTTTAAGGGCATTGTAGGATAGCAGCCTCTCTCTCTCACTTCCTGACCACCACAAAGTACTATGTGCTATCTGTCATGATGCTCTTCCCCAACTGAGGCCCAAAGCATCAGGGCCAACCCATCACAGATGAAGACCTCTACACCTATTAGCCCCCAAACCACCATCCTTTTTTTTTTTTCCTTAAAGTTGATTGCCTCCAGTATTTCATTACAGTAATGAAAAGCTAATTAACACACTGGAGATCTTATTACTCTCAGCATTTGATTGTTAAATGGATGCCCACAGGGCTTTCACGAAAAGGCCTATAGTTAACTCAGCATTTCCTTCTGCGCGCATCACCTTCGGTATTTCTCATGTAATCTCTGTAAATTTGGAATCGTATTCTCACTTCACAAGGAGAAAACTGGGGCTTAAAAATGTCAAGTATAAACGCAAGGTCATAGCTAGCTGACCGGAAAGCTGCTTCTAACTTGACAAGTGGCACAAACTAGGAGGCCCTAAGCACACTGTCGCTGAAAGTGTAGAGAGCCATCCGTACCAATTAGTCCCCCTGGAGCTGAACAAACGCGAATGGAAAAGCATTTGGAAAGGAAAAGTATGTATCACTTCAATCTGTTTAACTACTAAGTAATAAACTCTAAAAGAATAAAGCGCTAACCTTAATTCCTTATCGGGCAATTATTTTTTTAATAAAAATGATCCTCAGAAACTTCTGATTCCTTTCTTTTCCCTTCATTTCTTTTTTTCTTTTCTTCTTTCTGCCTCTGTCTCTGTTTGTCCCTCCTCTTCTCCCTCCACTTTTTCTTCCCCTCCCCCTTCCTCCTCCTCCTCCTCCTTTTCCTCCTCTCTCCTTTCTTCTGCTGGCCTGGAACTCAGGATCCTCTTTACCTTCTCCCCTTGAGCACTGGGATTATAAGCAGGTGCCACCAAGCTCAGCTCATTTGAAATTTTCTTCACACTGAAAAGCTACTAGTGTCTTTTGCACATAACCTCTTATGAGTTCACTCCAAAAATTGTGGTCTAAGAGCATAGAATGGTTCTGTCCTTGGTTTGGGGAGAGGAACAATGGTCCTGAGCAGGCTGAGATGAAATGACTACCTGCATACTTGATAAAAGAGAACAGCCAATGGGACATTCACGCCGAGAGCACTCAATGGCAAGGTCCTCGTGGTGAGTGGTTTAGTCTTACCAGGGATGCCGAGCTGCCTGCTCACAGGTGTATCTTTTATTTGGGTCTTTTTCCATCAGATTCCGAATGAAGTCTTTTGCTGTTGAAAAAGGAAGTGCAAGGACAAAGAATCACTTTGTGGCTTGAGCTGTGATCACTAGCCACCACTGTATCTTTGAGAGGAGCATGTGCACTGTTAAAAATCATAGACCACTTTCTATAGACCTTACTGCATAGCTCAGACACAAAAGACCCCAGGCATTCGGATGCTGAGTCAAAGCAGAGCCATGGCTGGAACTCTTAAGGGTGACCCATGACTAAAGAAACAGCAAAGCCAGGCTCACACCCCTGCATGAGCCAGCTGCTGCTACCGCTGCCTTCAGTTTAGAGAAGACAGGAAATGCTCTTCATAATCAGATGTTCAAACTTCTTCAGAGAAACATATGGGGGATGTTCCCTACACAGACATTGCGGACGTTACTGAATCCACCAATGGGGCTGTGAGATTACCAGGCACAGAGGATCCCAGTCCAATTGGACTACTATACTACAGTGAACAGGAACCCACCCCTGGAGAGGGCTGGCAGCTGGGGTCATAGAATCCAAAGCTGACACTGTGTGTCACCGTGGAAACCTGTTACATTGCAGGGCATGGCAGCTCACTGTCCACTGGACTGGGCATGGGGGGCAGGGAAGGCTGTGCCCTCTGAGCTTAGAAGTACAATATCCCCACCCCCTCCCCAGGGATGGGGGTTCCTGAAAGGTTTCTAGACATATATTTGGAGCCTAGGGTTTGACAGTTTGGAGCTTAACTTTCCAGTTAGGAGGAAATAACCTAAACAATAGAGTGCTCTCTCTGAACAACCCATCAGAGTCTTCAAAGTACTATCTCATTTATCATTTCAACTCTCCCTTCTACTGCTCTTCCTGGGGGGTAGGGTGTCGTTTTCTCCCTGTAAGGAAACTGAGGACCACCGAGATTGTACCACCACCTTACTTGGGCCTTGGTTTTGTTCTTTATGTCTCAGGAAGGATAGTGAACCTCTTTGGAAGGAGAATTAGGGTTCAAATCTCAGCTCTGGTATGTACTACCGGTGTGATTCTGGTCAAGTTAGTCCATCTTCCAGGGCCTCAGTTTCCCTCTCTGTCAAACGAGGACACTAGTTTTCCCCATGAGATGGGCAGTTTTGAGGACTGAGTTAGCCACGGTCGGGACTCTTCTGCTCGGCACACAGCTGGCACTGGGTAAGTGTTAGCTAATCTTATTTCACTCCTGGGGTGCTCAAACCAAGGTATGGCCGGAGACTAGATAGGCAAGTCACCATCTCTTGTCTAGGCTCAGGTGAGATGTCCCACGCCTGCCTTCCAGGTTAAGCCCAAATATGTAGCTCATGAAACTTCCCAAAGAGCTGTCATGGACCAATTGTCTGTGTCTCTCATAATTCCCATGTTGGGATCCTAAGTCCTAAGATGAGGATGTGCAAGGTGAAGACATCAAGAAGACAGCTGTCCATGAACAGGAAGTGGCCCTCACCAGACACCGGCTGTGCTGATGCCTTGGTATTGGACTTGAGACCTCCAGAATGGTGAGAAATAAACATGTGTTTAAACCACTCTGTCTGTGGGACTTTGTTAAAGCTTCTCCAGTGGATGATACAGGGACCTAGGGGTTGTTCTGAACTTTCGCCAGCCCCTGTCTGTCTCGGGTCCCTGGACCTGCAGCATTGGTTTCTAGGTATCATAAATATCATAGAGGCCACCATGGGAGTGGTGTGTGGAAGACTCACCAGAGTCAGAGATGTCATCCCAATAGGGGGAGTCAAACTCATATTCTGCTTTGAGGATCTGTTCAAAGAGCTTGGAGTCGTTTTCATCATAAAAAGGAGGGTAGCCACAGAGCCTGGAAGAAAGGATGGTAACAGATCTGAGTGCTGGCAGAGGCAGTGGAGTGGGTCTGCCCTTAGCCTGGAAGGGTCACTGTGGATGAAATTAGGAAAATCTGAAGTGTGTGCACCACAAACATCATCACAGTAGAGGAAGCCCCACATTCTGTACGCAAAGGAGCCAAAGAAGCAAGCTGCAGCAAAGAGGGTGGGCTCGGAGAGAACAGATATATTTAAATCCATCTTAACTTTTTTTCTTGAAATACCAGGGACTGCCTTTAGGATTAACTCATGAGCACTTCTACCACTGGAGCCAAGCTCCAGATCTTCATTTTTAGTTTGTTTTCAGATAGGGTCTCCTGCTTTTGGCAAGGCCAGTCCTGGATTCCAATCCTTCTACCTTTACCTCCTGAGTAGCTAGAATTATCTGGCTGTATCCCCACTGTCTGGCTTCCACCTTAATTCCTTAGGTAAAGTTAACTACAGTCCTATGGCCAGATAGCCTTTTGTGCTTGAATGTTATTAATCTTGTCTATAATACCGTCTCAAACAGATAGGTTGATGGGAAGAACTAAATATATGTTTAGCAGTACATTTCAGGACCCTTCTAGATTGGTTTAACTTAAGAAATTATCACAGGAAGAAAAGGAAAATTTACAACCCTGAGTTCCAGGTTTCTATGAGTCACTGTGGCGTGCACATTATCAGTTCTTTTGCTTAGCAAATACCCATCAATCAATCAATCACCAGTCTGACAATCATGGCTTGCCATTCCAGTTCTGTTCCCAGTCCTGCCACTGATACAATTTGGGGAACTAAAATTTCCTCACGGGAAAATACAGATGGCTCAACTAGATAATTCTTAATATTCTTTTGGGCTTTAAGCCACCATGGCTCTGTGACTCTTACCCAGTTGTTTGTCTAAACACTTCAAAAAAGACCAGAACCATGTCGGAGGCTCGTGTGAGGCAGAGGCCATCCTTGGCTGAGACTGCATGGAGGGACATTGAGGCTGGGGCCCCAGAGTTAGGGGGCCTTAGGAAACAACAGTGCATGGCTATGGAAGTCAGGTGTAAAGTGGAAGGAATATTTGTTCCAGAAAAGCCATGGACCTTGCCACATAGCTCAGCATGGTTGCAAAGACAGCTTCAGCCTTGGGATTTGTTTAATGAGAAGTTAGCAGGCATTGGGTAGGCTGCAGGCCTTTCAGGGCTGAGAAACGTGAGAAAGGAGAAAACAGCCTTGGTGGCTCCATTCTTCAGCACCCCTCTCTGACAGGCCTGCTGCGGAGGGACGAAAGGGTGATGATAGGTTTTAAGGCTGTGATACTTTTCTGCAGGCTGATAAAATTCAAAATCATCTATTCCTCCCTCCCCAAGGCTGTCTTTCTGCCTGGAAAATTTCAGCTTTAAAGATTTGCTGCCTTTGGTAAAAATGAAACCAAAAGCCAGCAATTCCGGAACCACAGTACGAACTTCACTGCCCCAGGAAACCCTGGGGCGGGAAGATGGAAGGGAACATTTTTCCCATAATGGGAGTTTGGGCTAAATGAAATGTGGGCATTGGGAAAAGCAGACTGAGAAAAATATTAGCTTGCCTTGGAAAAAAAGAGAGAAGTGCCTAAAAGTTAGATATATAAGGTTTTTTGTTGATTAACAACTGAGTATGTTTTACTTTATGGTTTGGCTTTCTCTTTAAGGAAAAACAAATCTTTTTTAAAAATTCCAAGAAAGAGTTATTATTCTTTGGGTGCCAATTTTCTTAATGTATATTCCAATTTCTTTTCATCTTAAGTTTCTCCTCCCCCACCTTTTTTTCCTTTTTTGTACAGACTACCACGTTGATGAGGGTATACTGAGGTATAATGACAGAAGAAATGAATCTACCTCAGGACTGGGATGGGCTACTGGAACTAGAAAAAACTTAGGGTTCACAGGGGTGGGGGAAAATGATGGAAGGGGTGACATGATCAAGATGCATTCTATCCATAAACAGGTACATTGAAATGAAACCCCTTAATACAACTACTTAAGAATAATACAAATATAAATATAAAAAAGGATATGAAGCTGGGTGCACATGGCTTATGCCTGTAATCCTAGCTACTCATGAGGCTGAGATCTGAGAATCAAGGTTCAAAACCAGTCTGGGCAGGAGAGTCCATGAGAATCTTATCTCCAATTAACCACTAAAGAAAGCCAGAAGTGGAGCTGTGGCTAGATGGTAGAGTGACAGCCTTGAGCACATAGGCTGAGGAATAGCATCTAGGCCCTGGGTTCAAGTTGTAGGACAAGCATATAAGAGAAAAAAAAAGAGATGAAGAAAAAATAAAAAGAGGACTTAGACTTGTGAAAAACCAGAATGGCAAATGTAGTTTGTAAAGGCTTCTTCCCATCTAGAAACTGGATGGTAAGGTCTCTGACCAGGTGATTTCATGGACAGCTTTGTGTGGAGCTTCCAATAAGATGGGTGTGTCCATCCACATGTGCTGGTGGTGGATGGTTGTAATGTTGTGGTCACTGGATGCCTCAAAGCACTTCTAATCCCTGTGTTCTTTAGTAGCATTCCTGTGACACTACTGATTTTATATCCCAACCTTTAAATGACCTCTAAATTATATGTCGTTGTGGGTACACAAAGAGGATAAAGCCATTCCCAATTTCTCCAGCCCCAAAACATTATGGCTCACGAAGACATTGAGTTTCCCCATGCATAATGGTGGCACATGAGGCTGAGTTAGGAAGCTCTGGAGTTTGAGGCTAGCCTGGGATCCGTAGTGTGACCCGATTTCAAAAATGAATAATTAATTAACCAAAAGAAAGAAAGTAGAGAAAAGGAAAGAAAAGAGGGAAAGGATGGGAAAAGAAGAAAAGGAAAGGAAACTTTCATTGCAGCCTTGGAACCATCATCCAGGAAGTCCAGAGGGCCTAGGCGAGCCTTTCCTTAACCCCCTGAAGAGCAGCTAGGATGTTACAAGGAAGAGCTGACCTCTGTCAGGTGGACCCAGGCCTTCTCTGCATGCTCCTACACCAGTCAAAGCTCCTACACTGATCATGAGCTCTGAGGGCCGGCCATGTCTTGCACTGGTCTTCTGATCCTCAATACCTAGGCCCTGTCTGTAGCTCACACTGGACAAATGCTTGGGTTAAATGCACACCCTCTAGAAGAAGGGGCCTGCCTCATTAGCTCCTGGGTTCCCTGGCAGGGCTCTGAAGCAGACAGTATTACAGATCTAAGACATAAGAAAGTGGGCCCCTGCCCCAGACCACAGTGACCTTCAATTGTTACCTCTCCTATCTCCCCATTCTGCATGCTCCCCTTATAGGAGGGGGTGGAGACAGCTCCATCCCACGTCATTCAGTCATTCCAGAAGGACTCAATGTGCAGGCCTGGCTCTGAGGATAAATGCAGCGTTGGGTTGGGGTTACCCACAATGCCACTCCTGGCCATGGACCCACTCCACAAGGGAGGAGGTTTTCCATGGAGAAAGTTTTTCACACAACTCAATGTGAAAATGGACGATGGTCAACCCTGCCTAATCCAGCAGTGAGAAGTTTTTCTTGGAAACTGAAATGCAAGAATAGCATAAAAGCTCCAGTGGAAAAGCCCTGTGGGTACACCATGGTCGTTACCCTACAGGAAGTCATGTTCTTCTGCTGTTTGCGTGTGGCCAAGCATTGTATCCATGCAAAACCGGGGAGGTCCAAAGGCTGAGCAGAAGCCACCCTTCTGTTCCCTCGTGCCCCTTAATCTCCATAGCTCACCTTGGCCACCTGTGTTCCTCTCCCCTAATTATGTCAGAGGTGACAGAGAAAAGACATGAAGAAGCTGGTATCAGAAATGGTGGTGGGAAAAGAGCCAGCCACCTCTGACAGCAGGTAGGGAGTTCTTTCACTGAAAGTTGCCTTAATTTTATTGTACTTTATGTGTTTGCAATCCGAACACTTCACATGAGATCTTTCTTTTTACTGTGTGGTGCTAGGGGTTTTAACTCAGGGCTTTTTGTTTTCTAGGCAGGCACTTTACTATTCAAGGCATGTCTCTGGCTCCAGAGCTATCCTCTCAATATTTACGTGCATGATATAGTACTGTGGAGTTTGATAGCTTGGATAGGAAGTGTCCCTAGCAAAAGCTTATGTGTTGAAGGCTTACTCTCCAGCTGGTGGCGCTATTGACCCCTCATTGTGTCACCAAGATGCTAACTTCAATGGGTCAATGGATTCATTGATTAAATTCAGAGCTGAGTGCCCTCCCTGCCCCCAAAGTGGAGGATGTGGGTCACCAGAGGGGAGTTTTGAAGGGAATGTCTTATTCCTGGCTCTTTCTGCTTCCTGTCATGAGGTCGGCACTTTGTTCCACCATACCTTCCATCATGATGCTCTGCCTCACTACATAACCCAGAAACAACGGAGCCAAGCAGGGATAGACTGAAACCTCTGATACCATATGCCCAAAATAAATCCTTCCTCCTTCTAAGTTGCTTTCTTGGGTGTTTTGTCACAGTAATGGAAAGTGACTGACACATTGACCACAAGAACCAGGGTGTACAGTAGATCTTTACTGCTTATTCACCTTGCTTAACCTAAATTCTCTGCCTTTGTTTAGTAACATCCTTTCTCCTCCTCTAGCTCTTACAAGTAACTCTTAGGCTCTCAGGCTGTCTTTTACAAACCTCACAGAAGGAGAATCACTCAGTATTTGCTTTCCTGTTTTTGGCTCATTTCACTTCACTCACGTCTGCCCGAGTTCAATCATGCTGTAGCATGTAACAAGTTTCTTCTTGAGGTATAGTCATAGCAGGCATTATCTGTAACCACGTTTTGTTTATCTATACATGTTACTGATGGATATTTAGGTTGCTTTGGCTATTATGAACAGTACTGCTATGAGAATGGGTACTATAGCTCTTCTAGGTTAGTTAATTCTTTTGTGATTGCATTGGTAGTTCTATTTTTTTCCTGTGCCAGTTATTGGGGCTTGAACTCAGATCAGCATCCCCGAGCTTTTGTGTTGAACC